ACAAGAGAATGTGAAAATGGATTCACCAGTGGTAAATGATGGAAAGAAGATTAGAAGACAGCATAGATGGTATAAAAATATGTTAATAAAAATAATAGCAGAAAACATCCCAAATATAAGAAAAGAAAATAAACATAAAGATAAGTGAGGTACATAGAACCCAAAGTAGCCATGATCGAGAAAACTGCTCCAGCCAGGTGCTTATGCCACTGAGCTACATCAATAAATAAATATCTCCATATTAAAAAAAAAGAACACCGCTCCATGTCACATTATAGTCACAATACCAGAAGTCCAACACAGGGGCAAAATCTTAAAACCTGTTAGAGAAAAGCAATGAATCACTTATTAAGGTAACCCCATTAGATTTACATCAGACTACAAAACACAAACTTTAAAGTAAAAGGAGGGCATGGGATAAAGTGTTTCAAACCTTAAAAGATAACAACTTCCAGCCCAGACTTATATATTATGCAAAATTTTCCTTCAAAATTGATGGAGAAATAAGATATTTCCTTGACAAAGAGAACCTCAAGAAATTCATGACCACAAAACCAGCATTACAAAAATTTCTCAAGGATGTGCTAGAAAGAGACAGTGAAAGAACAACGTGAATAAGTCAAACAGAATGAATATACCTGGCAGAGGAAAAAGTTAAGCAGAAGATAAAAATAAGGAAATCAGCAAGAAGAAAATAATGCAATGAAAAGAGTAAGTCAAAACTTTTCAGTGTGCATGTACTAGGAAGTCTCCCTGTCAAAAGACAGATTGGCAGAATGGTTCAAGAAATAAAATCCAATGATATGCATGTACAAAATCACATTTAATTCAATAAGAAATTCACAGATTAAGAATCAAAGGATGGGGGCTGGGGATTTAGCTCAGGGGCTGGGGATTTAGCTCAGCGGCAAAAGCGCCTGCCTGGCAAGCGCAAGGTCGTGAGTTCGGTTCCCGGTACTGGAGAAAAACCAAAAAAAAAAAAAAGAATCAAAGGATGGAAAGCAATATTCCATGCAATGGGAACGTGAAAAGAGCAGGAATGACTATCCTAATTTCAGAGGCATTGGATTTCAAGATAAAACTGTTCAGCAGAAACAAAAAGGTCACTAAATATTGCTTAAGGGAACACTTCAGCAGGAAAACAATTATAAACATATATGCACCAAACACAGGTAAACCTACCTTCATAAAACAAACACTAAAGGACAAGAAAAAATCAGATAAACACCAATACAATTGGAATGGAGGACCTCAATATTCTACTGTCACAAACAGAAAGATCAACTAAACAAAAAAATCAACAAAGAAATGTCTAAGTTAAACTATACCTTCACACAAATGTACTTAATATATACCCTACCCCCCAAATAAGCAGAGTGTTCTACCCAACAACAGAATACACATTCTTCTCAGCAGCACATGGGACTTTTTCCAAAATAGACCACACACTAGCTAATAAAACATGTTTAAGTAAATGCAAAAGAATTGAAATTATTCTACCCATATTATCAGATCATAGTGCAATGAAACTAGAATTCAATGGGTAAAGAAAACACAAAAATTATACAATAACATGGAAATTAAGTAATACCTTCTGGAATAATCAATGAATTGAGAAAGAAAGCAAGGAAGAAATTTAGACAGTTTCTAGAATCAAATGATAATGATGGTATAGCTTATCAGAATCTATAGGTCATAATGAAAGCTGTTCTAAGAGGGAAGTTTATACCATATTTCTATGAAAATAAGATATAACCAGAAAATATGATTTTTGGGGATGCTCATAATATAAGCCCTACCCCCAAAATAACCCCAGTTAAGATCATCAGCCTGATGGACTCATTTAGTACATCTGTTGAAACACATAATGGACATATTGAATTATTTTTTAAAATATTAATACATAAGTAAATAAATATTATTAACATTGATACTTAAAATAAATGATAATATAAACTATAATAAACTATCTGTAAATACCTAAGTGGGCACCTTTGGATGAGAAGTAAATGCCTATGAAAAGAGACAAACTCAAGCATTACTGCCAAATGACCAATTGCCCTATAGACACAACTTGTGAATAACATGTACACCTGATAATGAACAGATGTAGTTGTGTCTAATATGAATCTTCATAATTTAATATGTCACATGTTGTAATATAGACATTTTCTAATACACCATGTGAAATAAAGAAATGTTTTCTGAATTTTGGTGCCTATAATTTTTTGTCACTTTTGCGTGGACAATCATTATTAACTGCCACTCTTTTTGTTGCCACTTCTTTCCTAGAAGTCTTCAATTACCATTTGATTTAATAGAAACTTTGTGAAGCCTGACCTACAAGAAGTTGCGACTTAGGTGAAGAATTCATGGGATAAAATCACTGATAGCTGTGTTGCCAGTGTACTACAAGCAGGTTACATGGACAAGAAAAGCTCTATTGCTGGACATGAGAGATTGGGGCCAATGGTTCTATAAGAAATGGAGTCACAAGAAATTCAGGCCAGAATTCTGGGTTTGGAAGGTTATGATGAAGTTCCCAAAGAAAATGACATGACTCTGTTTGAATAAATGTGGATTTTTATACATGAACAAGTGAGTAAATACAGATTGTTGTACACGAAAAAATAACATATCCCCTGAAAATGAGCCCTATTGTGTCTTTTTGAGCAAAAATTAATATAAGATCTAATCTTACTTGGGGGGAAACACTGTAGCTGTGAATGCTTAAAAAAAGAGACTGAGCTCAAATAAATAACCTAATGATTCATGTCAAGGTCCTAGAAAAACAAGAACATTCTAAATTGAAATCTAATGCAAGGAAGGAAATTATAAAAATCAGAGCATAAGGGGGCTGGGGATTTAGCTCAGCGGCAAAGCGCCTGCCTGGCAAGCGCAAGGTCGTGAGTTCGGTTCCTGGTACCAGAGAAAAACCAAAAAAAAAAAAAAAAAAAAAAAAAAAAAAATCAGAGCATAAGTTAATGAAATTGACACAAAAAATCAATAAAAAGAAGCAGTGAATCAAAAAGTTAGTTCTTTGAAAGAATAAAGAAAATAAACAGACCCCTAGCCAATCTTAACCAAAAAAGGAAATTAAACACCCAAATCAAAGAAGTTAGATATGAAAAAAGGTGAAATCACAATGTACTCTGCTAAAAGCCAGATCACTGGTTATTAGTTTGATACCTGCGCTCTTAATCAAACAGAAATTCAGAAAAAAACAATGGATTCCTATGTACATTCCTATGTACCAAAGCTGAACAAAGAAGATGCAAAATTTTTGAACAATCCAATACTAAGCAATGAAATTGATGAAGTACAAAAAAATTACCACCTAAGAAAAAGCTGTATCCCAATGGATTTGTAAAAGAACTATAGACATAGTCTAATGCCAATACTCCTCTACTCTTGAACAAAATCTGAAAGGAAGGAGTACTCCAAGGCATTCTAGAAGCTAATGTGACACTGATTCTAAAACCAGTGTTATGGTTGGGTGTCTGGGTGTCCCCCAAAGCCTCATGTGGTCACAGAGTCTGATTGATTGTGGATATGAGAGCTACACTTGCCCTGGGGTGGATAGTTTACATATGTAAGAGAGAGGAAGAGGCTGCTTGCAGCCACTCCTCCCTTTTGCTCCTGTTGCCTTTGCTATCTTCAGTGGCCATGAACATTTGCCCTCTGCCATGTGCCACTCTGCCTTGGAGCCAGCCAAGTATAGACTGAAACCTCCACAAACTGTAAGCTGAATAAATCTTTCCTTCCTTAATTTTTGGCATCAGGTATTTTGTCTCAGCAATGAGAGAAAAGTAACCAAAGCAACCAGAAAAGAACTCAACCAAAAAAAAAAAAAGAACTACAGGCCAATCTCTTCAATGAATATAGACTCAAAAGTCCTCAATAAGATACTGGCAAAGAGAATGCAGCAAATCATCAAAAAGATCATATATTGTGACCTAGTAGGATTCATTTCATGAATTCAGGTATGGTTCAATATATGCAAATCAATAAATGTAATACAGCACATAAACAGAAGCAAGGACAAAAATCACATGATCATCTCAATAGACACAGGCAAAGCCTTTGAGAAAATCCAACATCCATTCATGATTTAAAAAAAACCCTGAAGGAAATAGCTATTGAAGGACCTTATCTCTATCTGATAAAAGCCAATTCTGACAAACTAATAGGAAACACCATACTAAATGTGGAAAAGCTGAAAGTTTCCCTCTCAAATCAGGAACAAAATAAGTATGTCCACTATTAGTACTCTTGTCCAACATATTTCTCAAAATATTAGCCAGATCAATCAGGCAAGAGAAACAAATTAAATGGCTATGTATAGGAAAAGAAGCTAAATTATCATTATTTGCAGATGACATGATCCTCTATATAGAAGACCAAAAACTCCACCCAGTTACTCCTAGAATTAATAACCAATTCAGTAGTATAGCAGAATACAAAGTGAACATACACAAATCAATGGTGTTTCTGTACATAAATAAAATTCACCAAGAAAGAAATTAGGGAAGTAACACCTTTCCCAACATATCCAGAAAAATTAAATACATAGGAATCAATCTGCCCAAGGAAATGAAAGACCTTTACAATGAAAACTACAGTACTCTGAAAAAGAAGATGAAAGAGGATACCAGAAAACGGAAAGATATCCTGTGTTCTTGGATAGGCAGAACTAATATAGTCAAAATGGCCATACTTCAAAAGCTGATACATGGATTTAATGTGATCCCAATAAAAATACCAAAAGCATTCTTCACATACCTAGAGAAATATACTAAAATTCATACGGAACAAAAAAAGACCTAGAAGAGCAAAAGCAATTCTCTGCAAAAAGATCAAGGCAGGAGGCATCACAATCCAAGACTTCAAGGCATATTACAAAGCTACAGTGATAAAAACCGCATAGTATTGGCAAAAAAATACTGGAACAATAGCTTAGAATAGAAGATGTAGAAACAACTCCAGATACATTCAGCTACCTGTTCTTTAACAAGGAGGTCAAAAACTTTTGCTGGAGTAGATAGGCTCCTTGCCAAATCGTGCTGGGAAAACCGGCTATCCACATGCAGAAGACTGAAATAATAAACTAAAATCAAAATACATCAAAGATTTAAATATTAAAACAGAAGCACTTAACCTGCTAGAAGACAAAGTAGGTAATACTCTCAAAGACACAGGCATAGGCAAGGACATTCTGAATAGAACCCCCAACTGCACAAGAAATGATACCAAAAATCAACAAATGAGATCTTGTCAAATTAAAAGCTTATGCATAGCAAAGAAAATGACCAATAGAGTGAAAAGACAACCTGCAGACGGAAAGAAAAATTTTTGCCAGTTATTCCTTGGACAAAGGAATAATATCTTGAGTATATAAAGAACTCAAAACTTAGACACCCCCAAATTAAAAGGCCCAATTGAAAATGTGCAACTGAAATAAATACCCACCTCTCATAAGAAAAAGTATTAATGTCCAATAAATACATGGTAATGTTCAACATGCCTGGTCATTTGAGAAATGCAAATTAACACAACACTGAGATTCCAGTTACTCCACAAAGAATGGCTGCCATCAAGAAATCAAATAGTAACAAACACTGGTAAGGTTGCAGGGAAAAAGGAACCCTTCTTTTATTGGTGAGAATGTAAATTGGTATAGCTACTATGGAAATCATTATTCCTCAAAAAGCTATAACTAGAAATTTCATTTGGCCCAGCTATTCCCCTCCTAGGTATCTTCCCAAAAATGTTAAAGACATCATATTATAGTGATACATGCATACCCATGTTTATGACAGCATAATTCATAATAGCTAAATTTTGGAAGTGGCTTATATACCCAGCAAAAAATAAATGGA